AGCATTTTTGATCAGGATCCAAAATTGCGTTCATTCAGCCTTTCTGTCCTCAGAGCCGAGTGTGATTGAAGCTTGAATGACTTGCTGCTGCAACACGTTCAGTTCAGCACGCTCTGCTAATAATAGGGTGATACTGTGTTGTCAGCGGAGTTTTGTTTCAGGGACCACACCGAAAGAATATAGGCAGGGAAATTATACCCAGATATGCTGAGGTTTGGCCATCAGTCACGGCTGAGTGTGAATGGATACTTGTTTCAGATCAGACAGGAATGCTAAGGCCAAAACTGAACATCCCAAAATATGAAACAGGCTCAGGTGTAAATACACCTTTACATTTTTTTAGTTTTGGTAAATATAATGCTCCTCTGTTGTGTACTTTGTACACAACAGAGGAGCATGATATTTAAATATACAGAATCAGATTCACCAGACGCCGTAGACCAGGCATGTCCAAACTATTTGTGTGGCTGCATGTTTTTGTTCCAGCCAACCAATCAGCTGTCTGAAGACTCAGACCAGTTGATTAAACCTGTCGACTCAGGTGTGCTACTGCTTGGTTGGAACAAAAACCTGCAGCCACAGCGGCCCTTTGTGGAACAGTTTGGGCAACCCTGCCGTAGATCATTTAATCACGATTAATCATGACTGATCCAAAGAGTGGAATCACCACTATCACATCACTATCCCTTCACTGATCAGCAATCAGTTTGTTTTTGAGATCATGTCCAAAAATGTCTAAAAGGTTTTTGACCAAACATTATTAAAAATGTCCCAAATAAATGCAATTCAATCATCTTTATGAGTGTGTCACAGATGCGCTTGAATCAATTTATATATGTATACGGTATGTGTATATGCTGTGTGAAATATTATCTGTGTGTGTGGGTGGGGGTTGTTGGGTTGTGCGGTGAAAGGGAACGACAGGCTGCTCAGATTTATGGCCCCTCTGCACCTGCTTTAGACCCTTTCTGTCACACCTGTGGTACTACTTCACCTGAACGTGGTTCTATTTTTATCTCATTACCAAAGTGTCCACATCACAGGCTCGAAGGATTCAATAATGAATTAATGTCTGTGTTGGTTTTACCATCTGATTCACACTCTGGTTCCTGTTAGGTCTGTGTGTTTCCTCTGTAGGGTTAATCAGTGTGATCACACTCACCTGTGTCTGTGATTAGTCTCAGTGGTGTCGCCTGGTGGCGTGGGTGTTTATATACCTCTCTCTCACTCTGTCTTGGTTGGAACATTGGTCAGTTTGTTTTGTGCTGTCCTTATGCTGTATTCCATTCTGTGTATGGAGGTCTTTAACTCAGTGAGTGTTACTTTTGATCTTTGGACATAAACTACCGACACTTAAGGAGATTTGGCTGCTGCCTGCCATGACAACACGTAACAGTTTCAATGTCTGCTCGTTGAGCGACGAACACTGTGAAGTAGATATCTGTCAGTGGGCCACGTGGTGGAGAAGTGGTTAGTGGCTGATAGATCACTGGATTGATTGCCAGTGGGAATTGAAGGTCTGTGTTTATATATTGGGTTTCCTTTTTTCATGGGCTGTATCATGTTGGTGAGTGTAAACTGTCCATTTCCTTTTTTCATGGGCTGTATCATGTGGATATAAAATGTAAAGTGTGGATGAACCCCACCCTCAGGGACTGATGGGATTGACCTGAGTGCCCAAAATGTTTATAAATTATTTTTGGTATTTTTTACTGCAAAAATGCAGTACAGTAATTCAAAGTAAGAGAACGAGATTTGTCAGAAATCACAATCGCACACATCACAAAAATCACAAAAAAAAGAGCCTGCAGTTGGCCTTGAAAGTGCTGGAAAAGTTTCCCACAAAATGAATTAGTGTCACCGTGGGTGTGTGTGTGTCATATGTTCTGAGTTGTTGCCAGGAGACAAACTTGCTGAAGGGCATGGAGATGTTGCTACAACACGAACAAAAGAAGTATTATGTTTTTGTGTGTCTTACTAAATCACATATTACTACTACTACTACTACTACTACTGACATATGTATCAGATATGTTTAAAAATTCTATTATATCAAAGAAATATATTAAATAATAATCAAGTGAGTATTCATCTCACTTGTGATCAAATGTAGGCAGAAGAACTAAACATAAGATTTGTTGGGTTGCATTTTCCTCTACATGCTATACAGATTCCGGGGCAGTCTGCTTTAACCAGGTAACATGTATTTCTTCTTGGAAAAATATTGCCTGCTCCGTAGCCATATATAGACGGTCCTTGGTTTACGACGTCCTCAACCTACGACTCTTTGTGGTTACATCACCATCTCCCATAAATTTATTGAGAAAGTCTTGTTTCATCATTGTGACGTACAACGTTGAAACAAATTTCACAGGGGAAATAGTTGGCAAACAGAGTGGGCTAATACATCATCACGTGGTGCTATACATGGGAGAACGCCTCGTTTACGTTCACCAGCTGAACGCCACACATCGAGCTAGATTTGTGTTGTCAAAAATCAAGTTATTAAGACTCGAAATAGAATCAGAGAATTTAGCTGTGGCTACTTCCTCCAAATACAGGATGTTAAAATAAACGTACTCTACTCTAAAGTATATGGCAATATTATTATTATCATTTATTAGCAGTTATCACATGTTATGTTGTATTTAATTCAGTTCATTTAATATAAATGCATATCTCAGGTATTTGACGTGTTGGCATCGCTGATGTTTCTGTTGGCCTAAATAAAAAAAAAACTGCGGTTTCTTCTTTAAATCAGGTCATGAACAGTAAAAAAAAGAAAGAAAAAAAGAACACTGTCCTACATTTTTGTTTCAGTACATTAAATTACAGTGTCCTAGTTTTCACAGCTGTGATGAGTACTTTATGCACTTAAACCATATATGGTATATAAATAATTATGAAATATTACTGTAAATAACAGTTCTTAGACAAACTAGAAATAATAATAATTTATCATAATAAAATTTTTATAAGCACTGTTTTCATCGGAGGATTTTTTCATTTTTCCAGGGCATCTTTGCAACGTCCCACAACTAAAATCCTTTTTGCAGCGTTAAAAAAACTAGCATCTCTCCACTGCAATTTGGTGGAAATGGTGTGTTGGCGCCGCCGTGTTTGACGTCGAAAAACCTCACCAAAAGACAGAGTTATCGTGGTAAAACTTTTCAAAGTTGTCAGAGAGACGCCTGAAGGACGTGTCTTAGCGTTTCACGCAGTAAAGTTAGACATCTTTTGGAATGTGTCTTAAAACGTTTCAACACTGGATTTCAGATTCTGAAGAAAACACGCAGCGGTGTAGTAACGTTACTCCTGTTGTGTTGGTAAAAAAAAATACTGAAACACCAGCATCAGCAGCGCCGCCGAAAAAAAACACTGCAGCTATGTTTCAGCTTTCGCCGCTGTATTTTCAAAAATGACATTTGTATGTGTGTGTGTGTGTGTGTCCCTGTGTGTGTGTGTGTATTTCTGTGCCACTTCCCCCAGCAGCTGAAAGGGACTCTTTGTTTATTGTACTGCAGGACAATGTGTATTGTAGAATAGCGAATCAGATTTCTCCTCCTGCAGGTGTGCATGTGTGTGCTTGTGTGTGCATGTGTGTGCTTGTGTGTGTCAGTGTCGAGAGCGAGTTATGACTGAGCGTTTTTGGTGACAGCACAGGTCAGTAATGACAATGTCTCTGGCCGGCGTCCAGTTATTACTCATGTTCTGGAGACATAAACCTGTTCCTGGAGACAAATCTCAGGCCACCGGCCGACAACACACACTTCTGCATCTGTACAAGAAATAACTTGTTACAAGGATCAGTATTTTAGGATTATGACAGGTTTTAGTGTGTAAGTAGTCATTATGGTGAGACTAAATCTGGGCAAAAAATGTACTGTTTGTGAAAGTAATGTCCTTTGAAGTCACTGTGGTGACAAGAATGTGGCTGCGTATGTGTGAGTGTGTGTGTGTGAGTGTGTGAGAGAGAGTCGCTGCGAGGCAGTGTGTGTGTGTGTGTGTATGCACGTGTTATTAAGCCAGAGGCACAGTTTGTCTCCATTCTGTCCTGATCTACTCATTTACCTGGGATTCTGCCAGGAGGGACCTGGAATTCTGCCAGCACACACATATACAGTTCACACACACACACACTCACACACACACACACACACACGTACACGTGTGCAGGAGTGAGAAAGCAGCTGCTGAAGTCCAGCCATATGTCAGTTAAATGAAGCAATGTTTCACACATCTGTTCATATGTGGGTGTGAACACACACACACACACACACTACATCACTTTGGGATGCTGTAGGTAGGTGGGGTTCGACGGGTGAATCCATAAATCCTGCCGGTCCAAACAACAACAACAACAACAACAAAACAGCCGTAAATAATCCAAGCATTTGTGCAAACATGAAACACAAACCAGAACCAGAGACTAACAGAACAAACGCAGACTAGTATATTTCAATATACCAATATATTTCTGTTTTATATACCAGCATATATATAAGCTTACACGATGCATCTGTCTAACTATCTAAGTATCTATCGACTCTCTTTATATGCAGACGACACACTACTTTATTTAGCGCAAAGATTTAACAACCAGAGAAACTGCAAGATTTTTTTCTTCTATTTTTTCCTCACCTCTGTGGATGATATAAAAATTAGTATTTGGTTTAAGCCACCATTTAGGTATTACAAAACTTTGCCTGAAGGTCCTAATAAAAATGCAATTTATATTTAGCATGATCATGACAGTTCAGCATGAGGAGATAATGAGAACCTGGGGCCAAACCCATACCTCACATTGCATCACATTCAAGTGTGAATTACATTGAAGTGAACGTTGATAAATATCAAGATTTAAATTATTTGCTTCTCTATAGAAAAGCAAGGCTCCTGAATAGAGATGAACCGTAATTGTGAATGAGAGTGGAAATGGAAAAAAAACATTTTATGTTTAATAACATTTAATAACCATCATCATATTTCCATCTGCTCAGGTGAAGAGATTGTTGAATCATCCAGCGGCCGTCGTCCGGACACAAAGACTGTGGTCCGTCCTCCTCCTCTTCCTCATCACCCAGTTCCTCCCCCTCAGATTTCTCCGACACAGGTTTGTCACACGGGCTCGTAATTGTTGACTTCTGATGATGTCACGTCTTTCTGATGAAAAAGAAACACTTTGGAATAACGACGGTTTCTGAAACATGGCTAACTTTCTCTGCTTCTCTCTCGTGTTTTCTTCCCTTCTTGATGTCTTTCTTTCTTCAACCCTGTTTTCTGTCAGGTGACTGTTCGGGGTTCAGCTCACACCACGACGACCGGACCTGTGTCTACGACCCTTGTGACCTTGCTACTGCTGCTGCTGTGTGCGTGGGAACCACACTGACCAACAGGAGGGAGATGCTGAGAGGTAGTGAAAACAAGGAGACAAACATAAACACAAACTGTTGGCGGTGTTGGTAATTTGGGTTGGTTTTTTTTTGGGGTGCAGCCGAACCAGATGCGAACATATTACGGAAGTGTCGCCGTTGCCTTGGCGCAGTATTCATTTTGATCTTGTATTTATTTCTAACATGATGGATTTTCTAACACCACTTAATTTTTATTGTAGATAAATGTAAAGCATGTGTTTCACAGAGCCATAAATACCAGCGGCTCGACCTGCGCGTCCATACGGAGAGATCACTTCACACAAGAGGTGTTTGGCTTGACCTTTACATTTTATGACGACTCCTAATGGCTACAAGTGCAGCGCTTCAAACTTTCAATGGTTGTGCAGAGAAAGTAACTAAGTTTATCACAGAAATACCCAATACTGAGAGACAAAAAAAGAATTCCCACCTGTTAAAATAACAAAACCAAACCAAACACTCTTTGTGTGAAAATACGAGGCAAGGTTTAGTGTCAAACAAAATTAAACAAGTTTAATTAGTGCATCACTAACATCTGGTGTTTATTTGTTAATTAACTTTCAATCAAAGTCAACAAAGGTCACTTTTCTACAAAGAAGTATCACGTTTTATTATTATATATACTAGATATAAAGTCTTCCCATAAACACCCACCAGAAAACAACACCGTGAATTCATGACAAACAAGTGAAATGACAAACGTTCATTTGAAAACAACACAATGATTGGCGGCAGCTGAGAGAAGCCAGGTTCTTCTGCTACACCCAGTTGCCCCCACAGCCAATCAGCTGGCTCCATATAAAACACCTCACACACACACACACAACACCTGCAACCAATCACACACACAATGAAAATGCAGGACAAAGCAAACAGGAAACACCTGGGTTTGTAACGAGTTTAAACACCAAGAGGCTGAAAGTGAAATAAGAACCTGTAAATTGCAAATGAATGAAATGAATAAAATACAGTTTCAGCAAAATATCAGACTCAAAATGCAAAAAGAAAAGTGATATGTATAGCTAAAGTAAAATTGGCTAAAAGTTAAGAAATAGCTACAGGCTAATTGGCCCATAAACTAAATGTTAAAATTAACATTTCCCGAGATTTTTTTTCATACAAGTATTTTATGTTATTATTTTAATCTCCCAGCAGTGTAACTTCCTGGCCTGAACAGCATTTCTACCATATTAGCAGTAATCTTTTCAGTTGTTGAAGTCGAACATTTTTATCATTTACATTTATCATTCAGTGAACGGTAAATAAAGATTTAGGGTTCAGAGTTTCACACCTAATTCAAAGAAACGTGAAGACCAGACTGACTGTTCATCACCGTGTCACCGTGAACCTTTGTGTCTCAGCAGCGTCACTCTGTCCCCAGTGACATCATCACACACCAGTGTTGATCTGAGCCCAGATTCTAACAGGCCAATCAGATGTAATTCATGTTAATAAGGATCATCGCGTCTCTGTTGAGTTTCGCCCCCTCCGACCCCCGACCCCATCCCTCTCCTATCACCATCCCCCCCTCATCCTCCAGCACCACCCAACTCCTCTGATCCTCTGCTTGAATACTGATGAAACACATTCAAAACAAAGCAAACGGAGCAGCTGAAGGACACCGTGTGCACCACCCGTCAGCGGGACACCGGCTGTGAATCACACACACACACATACTGTGTTGCACATAAGGATTAGCTACACACACATACACACACACACACAAGACCTTCGCACGCCTGAGGGTTCAAACCAGATTGTCTTTCACTTTTTTTCCATATTATTCTTAACATAGATTTCTAAGCTAAAGAGAAACAATAATGACTGACACCTGAGAGATGATTTAATATAAAGTGGAGGTAACCCTGATGGCTGCAGGGTGAGGGTAACTGGGTGGGGTGGGGGGGGCACATGTTTGGGTATTAGGATCGTTTGACGACATGATCTGTCAAACAAACGTGCCTTCAGTTTAAACATGGTTTCTATGTGAGGCTGCCATGTTACACAGTGAACAAACTCTAACAATGGATATATTTACATATGCAGTTTTCTATTGACTTGTTGTATTTGCAGGAGTTTTTACAACGTGAAATATAAAAATATATATTTGTTGTCAGTAGCATTCAAATTAAATAAGAAAATGAATTTATTTTCCTAAATAATTTAGTTTTTCTCGGACCACCACCTCAGGTCCATCGTCATCCTCTGTTGGATGCTCCTTTTATACCCTCTGTGTAAACTCAGTCTTTTTTGTGAACGAGATGGATGTGGTTTTTTTAACCTCTTTGTTTTTGATCCTATGCTGCTATTATTTAGTTGTTGTTTTTTTTCTACCCCACATGTTGGGCCACAGTGGTGGGCCGGGGAAGGCGCCCGCTGTGCTGTGTCACTGCTGAAAAGAAGTGTATATACTGTATCCTGGTGCAACAGCTCCCATACTTAAGTGTGATTTATTTCTTTGTTGTAACACCGCGCAGGGCCACCGGGATGCAATAAACAACTCGGCAGCAGTTCGGCTTCTCTTCGCGGTGTCTGCGACTCTGATTTACGACCCGTTGTAAAAGTCTGTGTCCTCCGCCTTTGTTATCAATAATTATTGACATAATATCCTCAGTAATAAAGTGTGTACGTGGTCAAAATCATTTTATCTGCGCCTTTTATATTTTGTCATTCTAGAGCGCACACTAATGCCTGTATTAGCTGAACGTACAGTTAAACTCATGTATACACGTGGTTAAAGTCAGAAGTAGAAGAAACGTAACGCGGATCTTTGGCTACAGTTAATGAGATGATTAACGAGTCATCTCCAATCGTCAGGTTGTTAAGATCCTCTCACTGCCAGAACATGTGCCGTTAAAGTGGGTTCTTTATTACAGCGCTGTTTAATCATAAATTCAGATTTTCAACCCAAGGATTTCAACCGGAAACAGGAACACGGAAGTTAAATGAACCAAAAACAGATTGAACACAGTCTTCAGTCCTGACACACTGGACATGGACTCTAACCCTGTGACTTTCACTAAGATTTTTCTATTTTGGGACACGTTATTGTATCGTGAACACGTCAGAACATCTACGTCTGTAAGACACACAGGTGATGCATTGTGGGTTGCATGTTGCTAGGCTTTTTTTTGGGATTCTCTTAGTTTCACTCCACGTTTCTTAGAAGACCAGAGAGAGAGAGGTTGTGTCCTTGTAACGAGACATGACCCTCAACTTGAACTTGGTCTGTGCCTGTAACCGCATTTTGTGATTTAACTAATGCTGCAAAAGGAATTTGAGTTTGTTGGTTAAAACACACTTTTAATTAATTAAAGTCAAAACTCATTCAAACGCTTAAATTATTCTTTCTTTTTTACCGCTAAATCCCAGCATTTAATGTTGTAAGGGCAGTTTTTTTTTATTACACCTTTTATGGGAAGCTGGAAATGATCAGTGTCTTATGTCATTTTTTTGTTGCTTATTTCATTATTAAATATTTTTGGAGTCGGTCCAGTTGCCATGTTCACAGTCTGCCATTGCACAACTCTGTAACCATAGATAGGTGTAATCAACCAAATTGTTGACAAACAGTGGTGATGACAACCGTGTTCCGCCTGTTATTGATGGTGATAAACCTGTGGTTTTATTAATAACACAAAGCCGACCGGCAGACTTGGATTCATTAAACCTCTCCTTTCTCATGGTTTGCAGCAAACATGGTTCAGTGAACTCACCGCGGTGTTGCTAACATGTTGGTTTGTTTGTGCTTTCACCGCTGCATTCATCACATCTGCAGTTCAGCACAAAGGCCTAAAACAACACCCAGAAACAGTTCAGTGTGTGCTCTATGGAGCTGCAGCTGCGGCTCTCAGGCCGCTGGCATTTTGTCACAGTTTACAGTAATTGGATTGACATGGTCAGGAAGTTGGCACGGGTGGTCCTGTTGGCACAGGAAGCTGCCAGGGGATGATGGGAAATGGAGACATCATTGAATGCAAATTGACACAGAGACAATGACAAAACAAGAGGAAGGAAGTGTTTCCATCCATCATCTGCCCCTTCCTCAAGTGAGGGTAGGAAACATCTCCACACACAGATTTTTTTCTTTGTCCAAACACTCCGATTCCAATGTCAACCGATACCAATATATGCAGCCGTTTGCCCCCTAAACTTCTCAAGATCCTACAAGCGATTCCACTAAATTTGGCAAAACCCAGAGACTGCGTTATCAAGTTTTCATTATCGGAAAAAAAAAACCCGATAATGATTCTCACAGATATTACATAATTATGCTAACATCAGGTCAATAATATCGGCCCACCGTTGTTATCCCTACATGGTATAACTTAGGAATATGGTATTATTTCTTGGAGAGCTTCCCAAATACACTGACTGTTTTAAAAAGTCATATTGATTTAGAGTAAATTCTTCATAGTGACAGGGTGGGATCCTGTGCTGCAGCTCAGCCAAGCAGCTACTTTGTCAATACGTGAAGAGGAGGCTGAGAGACAAAGGAGGAGAAAGCAGAGGGAGTTGGAACGAGTTCATGATGGAAAGATAAAGCCTTTGGTTTTTTTTTTTTTTTGGTTGTTTTTTTCGCTCTGCCAGCTCTACTGATGTGATCTTAGCTGTGAATATCTGAGTCCTGTCCAAGCGTTTTACAGATTTTATAGCTACTGTATAAAACGGCAGCCGAGAGTGTCTTCCATTCAAAGCTCCTGCATATTGGAAGTGTGCCTGCTGTAAAGCCTGTAAATGTAAGCTCCGTATTCAAAGTGATAAATGTAAGCACATCATTCACAGTGGAGGATGAACGACCGGTCTTCAGTACCTTTAGATTTGAGCCAGGGATCCTGGTCCTCGTTTCATAACTAGGTTTTTTAATAGAATTCAAAGGATGATGCAAAATGTACCTGGTTAAGGTTTCAGTGCTCATAGTGTCTGCATTAACTTTTTGCCAATGTCCGATATGCCGATATTGTCCAAACACTTCCATTTCCAATTCCTATATCAATAAATACCGATACATGCAGCCGTTTGCCCCAAAACTGTAGTAAACATCTCAGGATCCGACAAATGATTCCAGAATATACGGCAAAATCCAGGCATTGTGTTATGGGGTTTCTGTTATTGGAGGAATAAATGATAAATGATTCTGTCACATCATCATTTGTTACAGTGTCGTTCACTCTGACAAGATTCCCATTCACTTTTGGGATGTTGATCACATGATCTATCGTGGTAATGCGTTATTACATCTTCAGTTTCTGTTAGCATTCTTGAGTCAAGCTCACGTGTGTTGTTAACTAGTGTCTCAACAGAAATTGAAATGTGTCTTAAGAAACACATTTAGCAGTTTCTTTCTTTCTCTTTTTCATTCTACACTATGTGGATTTTTTTTGGAACTTTTTTGACATTTGATTTTTCTGATGTTCTCAGCCTCAATTTATTTCTCTGAAGGTCAAATCCATTTCTTTTCTCACTGATGATTGATGACCATCATCTCTATACTGCTAGCTAGCGCTACTGTACACACTACGTTCTTTTATGATGAGTTTATGAACATTACAGAGTCATGCGATGGTAAATGTAAGGGGTGCCTCAAGGGGGCAGATAAGGTCGTTTTCTATTGTATTTGTTTTAATTGTGTGAACTCTATTTCTTCCGTGAACCATATGTTTTGTTTCCAAATGTGATGTTTGGTTCTAAAATTTGGGCAGGATAATATTCTTTAGAGAAAAAGTTTATCTTTAGAAAAAAAGAACAAACGCTCAGACACTGGATCTTTGGCCCGATCTCTCCCTCAGGTGTGTATATTTTTCACTCACTCTCATCAGATCTGATAATATGAAAAAGTCCATTCTTCGCTAACGTTTTGCAGAGTGTAAATGATCCTCGAATATTTATAAATGCCGATGGCATCTTTGTAAATGGCCCAGCTGTGGCTCTTTTCCAAATTCGGATGAGGCGATGAAGAGTCATTTAAACCTGAAAGCTGATCAACTTCACAGTGGCTGGCAGCGCTCTGCTCTCCACACATTATAATGCCAAGATAGAGGTGCGCTGGCGAAGCTTTTGAGGATTAAATGTCTGGCTGAAGGGCGCTGTAGCATCGGTTTCTGTGTGAAAACAGAGACTACTGAATCATCTCACACACACTCTCTTCCACATCCACGCCGTCACAGTCGTCCTTGCAGTGAATTTAACTTCAAACTGTTCCTGGTAACTGTAATCCAATCTGCTCCTCGCTCCACAGTGTGTGGGCACAGCCGGCTGATATCAGGCCTTTGTCGTGCAGTGTGAAGCCCGCGCTGCGTTCCATTAATAAAGCTCCATGTTTGTTCATTGTATTTATGCTGTTGTATGCACGTTGGCCAGTATCGTTTGTACAGCTTGAAGTTACTGCAGTATGGATCTGTGTGTACGAGCTGAGATCAAAGTAACAGCCTGGGGAGGGGAGGAGGGAGGGTGGAGCCAGTCTCATCTTGATGCTTTTGTAGAATTGGATACAAATTTGGATAACTTTTAACTGATTTAACTGCGTTGGAATGTTGAGGTCGTGGGATTCTCGACTACAATGCAGAAAATTTAGTGACGCAGAATCC